ACAATGCCAGTAATAAAAAAGCAAAAGAATACAATAGAATAAAAAATATACAAATGAAACAAACTGTGCTTTAAGTTTTTTTAATGCAAGTATAAAGTATTCAGTTAACAGCCTACTAGAGAAATTGAATAACCGAATGTAAAATAAAACAGCATAGTCTTCACTGTAAGAATTAAACTTCTTTTGTTTCTTATTAAAGCTACAAAAGTCCTTCAATGAAGAGCAGTGAGTGATTTTGAATGTGTCTTTTGTTGTTTGATTAATATTAAGCACACAGTCGGCAACAGGAATATAGCCCGCTGTCTCTTTAAGAGCCGCAAGGATACAATTTACTGTTACACAATTATTTTCATTCTTAACTCTTTACATTCATTTATTACATAACCAACGAGGGTTTACGTGAATAATCATTAATCGCCACATTTTGACACATTTTTAGGTGTATTTGACCGTTTAGGCGCTAAAAGATGACTTTACATGTCCGTGTTGTGTTCCGTCTCTGAGGGCATCCACAGTAATCTTCCCGAGGAAGCGCAAGTTCTTTCACGCTTCTAAAAACATAAATCAATCTAATCAACTTAAATAAATCAAGCACGTCCCGTTTTGCAAAAGTCTTGTTACATGATTTTACTGATTATGGAGGAACGAAAGAGCACCGCTGGAAAGGGGGCGGAATGGGACACAATAACCGTTTTATCTCTATTTATATATTTAAAACACATTTATTTAAATCTATTTCAAAACTTTTACTGGTTTCATTTACGTATGACTGACAAATATGCATCACATTAAGTTTATTAGGTTGCCGGGAAATTTTATATGCAATACACATAATTTAATCTTACATTTAGGCCTCTTTTTAGTGTACTCTTACTGTATGACAATTATTGACTGTATTTGGGTTTATTTTTATTCTCCTGTGCAATTTGAGGAGACATTTGAGATACTTCAAGCAACTGTGATCTCCATTTAGTCCCATTTATAAAGCCAGAGAAATACGAACATAAAAAGTAAAAAAAAGTAAATCCACTTGCACTGGATCTTCTTTGGACACAGCAGAGATTGTTTAAATCACATGACACGCTCAACAAGTGGCATTTCCATTCGCACTACATGCAAATCAACTTTTCAAGAGCGCTAATATTAACCTTTACAAAACCCGTGAATATGTACTCCAGCTCTCCACTGTACGCCTTCATTATGACATTTCAAAAACTGTATAATTAGTTTGTGCTGTATGGAGCAGGTCTGTCTGGTTTCCAGGTGAATTATAATGGCGGTTTGGAGCGGGTCTGACCCACCTAATAAGGGCCGAACCCCCTAAAGGAAGTCATAAAAAAGGTTAAAAAGTAGATACTACACAGATAAAGATTACATAAGGAACATTTCTGTGAATGCAAAAGTAGATTACAAGTTAGTCAGAGCACATATTTCCACAAACAGAAATCGTGTCCAAGGTTTGAACACTTTCCCTTTACAATCAACATTTACAACACAAATTAATTGACCTTTTGAATAACAGACTAAAATTCCCACACAATGTAGAAAAAACACACCGAAAGCTTAGCTTAAAGAATACAACCGTCCATTACCATCCATATCCAAAACACTATGAAATCGACCAGAATTCATATATTTATTTTTATTTTTATCTTTGCCTGTCTAAAATCTTGAGAAGTTATTCATGAGCAACAAACCAGTGATTTTGACTTAGTGCAACATTTTCAATGAAGCTCAAGAACTACTGTGATCGAATTTCCAAACAAATCATACAGAGACCAGTATTATGAAACAACTGCAAAGACCTGATAGAATAGAATGATTCAATAGAATGATTCGTACACACTAGTAACACTAAACATTTTACAACTATACTATACAAAGATTCATCAGCAGTTTCAATTTTCTGAACAGTTTCAAACGATTAATTCAAAAGATTTGATCCAATAAAATGAAAAACTGCTACTTCAGACTCACTGGTAGCAACTCTAAACATTTTTATTTTTATTTTACTACACGGAGATTCACCTGCAGGTTCAGTTTCCTAAACCAGCGCAAACCATTCAATCAAAATACCTGATTCAATAGAATGAGTCGTTCACAAATTCCTACTAGTAACATTAAACATTTTATAACTTTAGTGCACAAAGATTCATCTGCCGGTTCAGGGGCCTCATGTATAAAACTTTCTGTAGATTTCATCCTAAAAGTGTACTTACGCACAAAAGCTAGATTTGGCGTACGCACAAACGTTTCAGATTTATAAAACCATGTGAATGCCAGAACCTGCGCACAAATCCTTTTATAAATCCCCGTCAGCGGAAGATTGTGCATACATGCAACTCCTCCCCAAAATCACCATATATGGAGCTTACAGCGCCTAGTTTTACTATGCATAACCTCATCTGCATATCATCTCCATGCATACTCCCATCCACGTGACACCATGTTTAACACCCACAAAGGTACAAAACTAAAAAAATATGACATTTTATGTGGACTAAAATGCAATTTGTACGGTGCGGTACAATACATTGCTAAAAAATCATTCACTGTCCTTGTCTTGTTTTCGAATAAATATATCAATGAATGTAAACACAAAATTGTATAAAATACTTAGAGAATATTTTTAGAATAGAGTGGATCTCTTTCTTTTCCACTGGCCAAACCAGTATATAATTGTTTAAACAAATTCAATGTTTTAGAATATTTAAATAGGCTATAGTTGATTCAGAAATACGGTGTGTGTAAATAGGCCTAAGTGTACATAATTGTCTGATGCGCACGAAAAAGAAACGTGCAAATCTTATCGTTTGCTTCAGATTCTATCCTTCAATCACAATTCTATTTTCATAATGTTCTGAATGTTCGCGAAATAAACACCTCCGTGCAGCCTTGGTTGTGCAGTAGGCTAATATATTCGGACCTATTTAAACTTGCCAGTAGGCCGTTCGACCACAGAATCCAGCAGTGTCTGCCACAATATCGAAGTAAGTGCGCATCGTTGAGGTTCTTGCTAAAAAAAAATTCTCTTAACATCAGATCTGCAGTTTAAAGAAACATTACTGTGTGCCTAGCACTCCTCACTGCCATTAAAACTGCATGCAACAAGAAAAGTGATCAAAAAACAGCACATCCACTACAAATATGTCTAAATATCTAAATTCATAAGTTTTAACTTTTGAATAAGGACTTTATGTAATGTCAATGCTTAACTCCATTAATGAGCAGAATATTTAATCTAAATGTGTATATTGAAAGGAAAAGAGAGTCTGTAATCATTAGGCTTCGCTATTATGCCAGTAAAAGAGTGCGTACGCACGGTCTAGAGTACCTGTACAGTGCGCACATATTTACACCAAGTTTATTTTTTATAAATCTCAATATGTACATGGAAAATTGTGTACGCCCATTTACATGCCCATTTTGTGCGTACGCAACGTTTATACATCAGGCCCCAGGTCTTTGAACTGGATCGAACAATTCAATCAAAAGATGTGACTTGATAGAATGATTAGTTCACAAATTGCTACTTGAAATTCACTACTATTAACACTAAACAATTTAAAATTCTCACTACACAAATATTCATCTGCAGGTTCATTCTTCTAAACCAGTTCGAACAATTAATTCAAAAGACCTGAATCAACCGAACTATTCGTTCACAAATTGCTACTTCAAATTTGAGACTAGAAACATTTTTTGCTTTTTTCCCCTGTACTTCAGGTTTAACTCAACCAGGTGCCATTACACATCAATCCCAGTGTAATTTGCACACTGAAAGTACGATTGCTTCGCATTGCATCTGTTTATTACGGACTATCCGGTTATTAAACCAAAAGGCCTGGATGATAATGTTGGGCTAGAAAACACAAATCAAACTAAAAACCAATTGTTGCACACTTACCGTCAAACTTTTTATGTCTGGAGGTAAATATCGTCCGTATGGTGTGGCTGTTCTCATCCACTAATTTCTCAAAATCCAGTTTACTCTGCTGGCTGAGCCTGTCCTCCATTTCTGAAGTGCAGCAGGTGTAGTCTTGGGAACAAACCCGCAGATGTTCACCTGTGGGATGAGAGAAGGAGATATTTCACATAGCCGCACTGGGAGACATGGAGCTCTTCACACCAAATCAAACACGCTTCATTAAGCCAGCGCTGCGATGTGTGATTTCCCAAACCACACTGAAGACGTGATGGTGCACCAACAGAAATTAATGGTGTATGTCGCTGCTGGATGTGACATCTTTAATTACGTCAAAAACACAGATGGATGTTTGAGAGCCATCCTCAAACTTCCTCCAGGCACGTGTTTTGCACTCAGGTGAGCTTTTTAATGACTGCAAACAAGTAGAAAACTTGTCAGAGTGCCAGTGTGAAAAAACACTTCCCATCTATTTTTTCTTTTATTTCATGCTTGACAGGCGACATAACATTACAATATGTTCAATGTGATATTGTATGTAGTGCATAACACATTGCATATCATATGCATTTGTGCTTCTGAAGTAAATTTATCTCCAGCTTAAGTACTTAAAAGGTCAATTTAACGTTGTTTTACTGACAGCAAATGACCTTGCACACATTATAAAATGCATAAAATGTCAACAAATATCATAAGCAGAAAATATATTTTTTTAAATCCTGCAGAGAATTTCCTGACCAAGGTCAAATGACCAAAACATTATATTAAATATATAAGTTTTTTTTTTTTGGGGGGGGGGGGATCTATAACATGTATGGTATTTTTGTGCTCCATTAGGTGTGTTCAACTTGAAGCGGCGCTGCGCAGAATGATCAGTGTCATTATAATTACTATAATCTTATTATACATTTTACACCTGTCCGTCTCCACCATCTGTCCACCTCAGCATTAAACCGACCCATCGCAACTTCACAAAAAAAAAAAATAAATCTCCCAACACCTGCTACATTAAACATGCTGTTAGCCAGACCACCACTGCACCGGTTCACAAGCCAAAGCCAAAGTACTTCTGGCACGTGTGGATCGCGGGACAATATAATGTATGGAGGAAATGCCAGACTATGGGCTAGTGATGCATTTAAAATCACCTCAAACTTTGGCGAGGAATCATTAGTTGCTCACAGTGAGGAAAAGCGATAAACAAGAGTGTGTTGGTAATGACATGGCTGCCGAACAGTGTGTGAGAAAAAATCTCATTCTCATACAGCCAGTTGATTTGAAAACTAATATCAGACCATTATATACTGAGCAGGCAGATGCTAGCTCTTATTTTCGAGTATTTATTGACTTCTACAGAGAGAATATTTTGAAGCCTGTGTGCGATTTAATTTCTGATTGTGTCTCCTCGTTTCAATGTAATGAGCGAGAAATTGTGCAATTTATGAACAGGGCCATATCTGAACACGTATTTGACGGGAATAATAGGAAACAGACATTATAAGCCTCAATATTCATTGTTGAAACTTTTTCACATTAAAGTTCAATCACATTTAAGTTTAGTCAAACATTATGAACGCTTTGAGTATCTTGAATAAGTTGGTCAAGAGTATTTCAAGCTTTCAGGCTCAAAGCTACAATCACAAATGAGATGTTTCTCCAATGACAAGGACATTAAATGGGGCATTAATTTTATAATTCTACTCTTTATGCATCTCAACATTTGTACATTTCTGAAAGAAGCCTTTTATGCTCACCGTGGCAATTTATGATGCAAAGCTGAATTTTCAACATCATTACTCCTGTTTTCAGTGTCCCATGATCATTCTAATATGCTGATTTGCTGCTCACAAAACATTTCTTATAATTATCACTGTTGAAAAAGTCATGCTGCTTCATATTGTTTTTTAGAAATCAAAATAGATACTGTTTTCCAGGATTATTTGATTCATAGAAAGTTCAACAGAACAGAATTGATTTGAAATAGAAATGTGCAGCGGACCACATCAATGTAGCATATGATTATTAAGCCCTTACTCTGGTTTGCTGCATATTTTTTTCTTTTCATAATTGTCTTTTCATTGATGAGGCTATTTGTTGAACTTTTGAGGCCTGTGTGTAACCTGTTTTTTGTTTTTTTTTCTCTTGTGGGCTACATTTTCTGAAATCGCCTGCCTAAAATCTGTTTGTTGTTTAGCAAATAAAAATTATCCAAAGGAATTTTAGAAGAAACATCACAGACAAAGTTGATATTTAAAGAAGTCATATATGTCTTCTGAGCAACAAAATTCCAGGTCAGCTGAATTCGGAAGCACAATAATGTTTCTCAGCTCATGAGATGCTCTGTTGCAGATTCATCGCTCGTCTTACAGTACGCCAACAGCTGGTTGGTGTCAGATAAGCCCATCACAGATAATGACAGACGCAGCCCACACATTTAATCTCAGAAAGATTTAAGTAATTCATGAGTGCAAAATATCTGAAGAAAAGCCAGTCATTTCTCAACACGTGTTACACTGGCTTCGACCCAAAGTGGTTTTTAGCACGCTGAGGTGAGGTCATGATAAACATGAGGTTTTCGCAAACCGTTCTAAGACATTAAGTTATTCATTCACGGTCATTTTCTCTCATTTCTCCTCTCTATCTCGGCACAGATGTGGAGGATCGTTATGGATCATTATCTCTGAAACCTTGGGCACGGAGCGTGATTGAAGCGCAGCATTGTAATTAGCTGGAAACGCTGACTATGAGAAGCTCAAGTGAGTGCTGCTGGTGTTCAAATGCCAGTGAGAGATGGTGAGACAATGACCATTTACCACAGACAGACAACAAGATCAGTCCCACCAGAAGTGCTCATAAAGTCTTTCTCTACCCTACAAGCTACAGATTAAGACATGTCACAATTTGTACACAGGACTGACCAAGCAACTGACTGGCAAATATTATAATTATATAATATAAAATAAATTAATGTATAACATTCACAGCATTCATTCCAAGTTTGGGCTACGGAAGGTTTGTATGTTTGTTTGTTCATCTCCTCTGCTCACCAAGGCTGAATTTATTTGATCAAAAATACAGTAATATTCTTTGTGAATAATGTGAATATATAGTACAATGTAATGTATTCCATTGATGCAAAGCTGAATTTTCAGCAGTTCTTTACTTCAGTCAAATAACTTATTATTATCATTATTGTCTTATTGCTATTCATATTTGGTCCCACATTATATTAAGTGACTCTATTGTAGTGTAAATTATAAAACTTAATTTACTGAAAAACATGCTTTACACAAAAATAAATACCATTTTACATTTACATTTACACATTTGGCAGATGCATTTATCTAAAGTGACTTACATTACATTGCATTACAAAAATAAAATGGGAACATTTAAAAAATATTCATAAATTCTACAGCTTAAAATAAGAATGCATACAATTTAACTTCACACTCAATGCGGTTTTGAATCTCATTTAGTCTTGATAAATGTTAGTGTCAAATCCAAAGTATCATACTGTATACATAAGCAAATCCTCAAGGGTCATAACTTTCTCTGGATTTGTGCTAGTCGTCAGCAGCATTGAGGAGCAAAGCAATGGACATCCACACTAGTCAGATTAAGGATGCATTTAAAATATGGTGATTACAAGAGGGATTACATTTATTAAAATGGCTTCTGCTGATGCACACACAACTAGTATGTACTATCAACAACAACATCAATAAATAAATAAATACAATGTTGCCAAAACAGCAGTGAATCAAACCAGTTATTGCACATCAAAAATGCATTCAGCGACTGTAGGTTTAGAAAGGACTTTACCGTCAGCACCAAAGGCAAAAAAAAAAACACACACTCACAAAAAAAAAAACACATCAGTTTATACATGTCAGGAATATGGACTGTCTGTCTGTGTTTTACTCCCCATGTGCTCCCATTGACCTAGTTTTCCCTTGTGTGTGACATATTTGGTTATTTTCCTGTTCCTGTTCCGATTGTGTTTGATTGATCTCAGGTGTGTCTCATTAATTCCCTCGTTTAGTTCAGTGTTTAAAGTGTGTTCTGCCCCTTGTTTCCTGCCCGGTGTTATATGTCAATTGGTGCTATGTGTGTCTCCTGCGTGCCCTTTTTTCCCTGTGATTTGAATTATTAAAAACTCTTGTGTGTTGTAACTCCTACATCTCCTTGTCTCCTCACCGTAGCAGTCGTGACAGAACACCGGACCTACAAAGTGGCGTGATTCCCCTCCGTTTTGTTTTCGTGTTTTATACAGTGTTTTTTGTTTCTGTTGTGTTCCCCATGGATCCCCTCACCTCTAAGTTTACCTCCCTTGCCCGTAAAGACCTTCCCTTCTTGGAGTATGCTATGGAGTTATGTTTCCTGTCTGGTGTTATACGTCAATCGGTGATATGTGTGTCTCCTGCGTGGCTTGTTTTCCCTGTGATTTCGATTATTAAAGACTCTCGTGTGGTGTAACTCCTATGTCTCCTCGTCTCCTCGCACCTCACCGTAGCAGTCGTGACAATACAGTGCAAATTAACATGCTCTCTCCATCAAAAGATTCAACATCAAACCTGACAGTAAGATTAAATGCTGAGGTACAATAATATCATGTTAGTGAATGAAGAGAATCTGTATGTTTTCACCATTCCTGCTCAAACCCAACCAAACCAGCTTACCAACCAACTAGGTCCAACTAAAATCTGAGATTTTGTTTGCTAACAGACAGCATGTTTGAAAAATCTAGGTCTACACAACCACAGGTACATTTAACAGCATGCAATATTTTATTTATTAGTGCATAAACATATCAGAAAGACCCCATGGCCACTAAAACCAATTCTGCATGCTACTGGACATGTACAAATGTATATATTATATTATTCCTCTACTTTGAGTTAAACAAACTTAACTTGAGCATTAGTAACACACATAACACACAAGTTCATCACAGAGACTTCTGATTTTGGATAAAGTTTAACTCGTATCGAAGCCTAGATATAGTGTAATGCATGCTTACAATGCTGATGAGATCCAGATATGAGATCAGCCCTGTTCGTGGGTCACATAGACCGCCTGTCGTCCATTAAACGACAGCTATTTGTTTCACTTTAACATGTATGGGGCCAATTTCCACA